GGAGAAACTGAGTAATAGAAATAGCTAGCAAGATGCTAGCTGCTCAAGTAGTGAAAGTTGTTACCCTGAGTGCTAGGCATCTTTGCAGTCAGGTTTCTCATACACTGCCTGAGCAGGACAGGCTGTGTAGGGTATAGGGGAAAAACCTTTGCCCAAGCTGGCAGCCAGCACATAGGCCCTGAAGGGGCAGGAAGGGACTTGTGCAGAAAGAAAGGGGGCAAAAGGGAACTGCAGTCTGCAGGAATGGCCCAGTGCTGAGGACTGCAGGCCAGCCTGGGCTGCTGGAAGGAAGCACTAAAAGCAGAGGCAAACAGAGGAAAGGACTCATCCCAGGCCTCAAAGCCAGAGTGGATGGAACTTGGACTTGAACCTGGGAATCTGACTCCATGCCCAGTATTCCCTGTCACTGGGCTTAAAATAGAAGGCTGACCTTTTGGTAGTAATTTTGTTCTTGACAGATGCCAGAAAGCTGTTCATTCGTTCACGTTCCCCAAATCATGGCAGCATGGAGTAGAGGAAGACAGGAGGGCTCCAGGCTGCTCATGTACCTCAGAGATCCTGCAAAGTAAGGGGGGGGGGGTGTCTTGCTTGTTGGCATTGGTCCTCCTGCCTGGACCTGCCTGCTCTGGGAAAGTTTGTCCAGGTCCCAAGAACTCACAGGGAAGGAGCTTGGGAGACCAGTGTCTCATAGTGTGCCTGAGTGTGCCCAGCTCCCAAGGATCCTGTGTCTCCTCTACCCTCTCCTTTCCTGGTTTGAAATAATGTTCATAGAGCTGGGGCTATGCAGTGCTTGTCTTGGATGTTCAGAACCCTAGGTTTAATCTCAACACCACAAAAACTGAGCATGGTGGTACCACAGACCTATAATCCAGTACTCAGGGAAGTAGAGGTAGGAGGTATTATTTCCAGCTGTTTTCAGTGACATCAAGGCCAGTCTGAGATACATCAGACCCTGTGTCAAAATAATGGTGATTCATGGTAAGGAGCTTAGAAAATTCGGACAAGCCTGTGAAAGGCAACAAAAGGCTACTCTAAAGCTACCCATTCCTCTCAAAGGCTCAGCCCTGCAGATTTTTGCTTTGCCCTGGCCAGGGAAGAGGGAAAACCTGGAATTCTCTCAGTAAGAGTATGTGGACATACTTTTGCTAATATTTCCTCACTTGCCACATCTCAAGCACTTCCCTAGGCATTTAATCTTCCTTTCTGCTGGCATGTTTGTCAACTGGAGGCTTTCATCAATGGCCTGTGTCAGAATCCACTGGCTTTCCTCCAGCTCTGGAGATACCCACGTCTTAACCATCCCCCATGCTACACCCTTTCATCAGCATTCGCACCCCACACACTCCCCCCACATATCCCCACCACCACTCCCAGTGACTCCAGTTCCTGCACACAGACTGAGTCCAAAGGCTTGCAAATACCCACAGCCTTTGGTACATACACATCTCAGAGCTGTTCTTGAGACAGACAAAGGGCAAGCCAAGTTTGTCGTCAGCAGTGAAGACCCCCGGGAACCTGTGTGCCTGTTACCCATCCCATAATCTCTGGCTTGTCTATGTGTTTGGAAGAACTTGCAGTCCTTGTGGGTTGACACAGACCCAGAAGGCCTCTGGCATCTCTGCTGTAGTTAGCTCATCCAGAACTGCCTTGCTGGGATGAAGCAAGAATTCTGAGGTCCGGGGCTCAGCCATGCCGTTCACCTGCAGTTCTCTCCAGCGCCACCCAATCCCCCAGTATGGCAAGTTAGTGTGGACAAGAGCTCCTCGAAACTAACATACAAAGAGGACGGAGAACGAGGAGAGATTTAAGCAGCAGCACAGGAGGGAAATGCGTGCTTAGCACCTCTACTCAGCTTATCCTGCAAAATATGACAGAGTTGGAGCCAACAAGCCAATGACATGAGTTCAGCGCCAAGGTCCTACATGATAGAAAGAAGGAGCCACCTCATGCAAGTTGTTATCTGACCTTTGTAGGCATACTCTAATTACATGTAAATTTGATTACTTGTCTAAGACTTGATGCTGACCCCAAAATTAACGAACTTCCTTTTGTCTTCTTTTCAAAAGAGCATCCTGGGTAGGGAACCCAGGCCAAATTACATACGCTAGGCAAGGGCTGTGCCACTAAGTTCCGCCCACCCAGCAGAGAGTGTTAGTATCCTTGCTCATCCCTCATGAACCGCACTCTGCATATGTCGCTGTGTCTTTAGAGACCCCGAGGGTTCCAGCTTTTCTCTTAGCATTTTCATTCAGGAGCACACAGAGCTCAGTCGCAACACTCAGCTTGTTTGTGTGCGTGATAACTTGGCAGCTTGGGAAAAGCCACCTGACACTTTGATTTGTTACAGGGTAATTCATTTTTGAGGCAAGTAAACAGCTTATAAACCCAGGGGTTTACCACTGCACCTGATTAAGAAGTAAGCAGCAATAAAGTTCACTGCAAAGCTGTGGCTGATTGTCCCTGAGGAATTCTCCTGAGCAGTGTTGCGATCTGTCAGACATTCTCTGTGTTTCCTCTGCCTGCCTTTCCTGCCAGTCAATCAACCTCTCAGTGCAGCCTCATGGGGTCTGGAGCCTGGTGGTGCTGCCAGTCCCTCTGTAACAGCCATCTGAGGTACACAGTAGGTGAGGACAGCAAGCACTAACCACCAGGCCCCATCCACCTGCTGTTGCCATGACACATGTCATCTGCCCCGAGAGCCTGGCCCAGGGTCAGTGAGCTTGGTCAGTTGATAACAGTAGTTATTCATGAACATTAGTATATAAATAGCTCCTCCTTGGCCAAGTGCAAGGTACCACTGAGTCTACAGGGAAGGGATGTGTAGAGCAGGAGGTCGTATCTATATGTGAAAAGAAGGAAGTGAGGAGGTGCAGGGACTTGCCTGGACTCCTCTCTTACCTGTAAGCTTCCCAGGGGCAAGAACCTGCTCTACCCTTTGTACTGCATGGAGCCAAACACACTGCCCCCCATAGACAATCAGAGCACAGCATTTTATGGTTTTCAGATAACAGGATCTCCATGGCAATGACTCTACTCTGTGTAGACCAGCTGCATTTAAACGAAGTTCCAAAACTGTGTCCTCCTAAAACTTTACTTGATGAAATAGTTACTTCTTGTGCTGCTGTGACATGCAGCTTAAGGAAGGTAGATTTAGGCTCATGGTTTAAGGGGATACAGACCATCATGGTGGAGAAGGCTCAATGACCAGGGGATCTGGTGGCTGGTCACATTGCACCCACAGGCAGGAAGCTGAGAGAGGAATGCTGGAGTTCTTCTTGATTTCTCCTCATTACTCAGTCTTGGACCCCTGCCTATGGGATGGTGCCACCCATGTTCAGGTCTTCCCTCTCTGAGAACACCCTCACAGATAGGCCCAGAGCTGTTCCTGGGGTGATTCCAAATCTAGTCAGATTTGCCATCACACTTACTTAACAGGCAGTAGCCAGCACCTTCCACCTTCCTGTGTTCTGTGGAAGTAAGGCTAGTCCTAGAGAGCCTTCTGGAGGAAATGCTAGCAGGAGCTGGTCCTGGAGGTTCCAGCAGTGCTGGAGAGGGGCCAGCTAAGCTGACTGTGCTCATTGAGAGTAGCTAGGATTGTCAGGGTGCTCCTTCTGCTAAAGGACTTGTCCCTGACCCCATCTCACCTCAGGACAGCTTCTGGATGAAGAGGCAGAGACAATGTGGTCTACAGAGCACCAGCTACTGGGGCTGAAGCAGAACCCACACATCTGCATGGACTGGTGGGATTGTTGAAGTATTTATTCCTTGAGAATGTTCATGTTTATAGAGAATAAAATCAGACACATCAGCCCTTTGGGAGGGCGGAATGTAAGAGCTCAGAAGCCCCAGTGTAGAAAGCATGAAGCAGGGTGCAGCTCCTGCACCATCAGCAAGACTGAGCTTTGTCATGAAGAAGTACTTTTGGGGTTGGGGTTATTTGTTTTGTTGTTTGTTTCTTTTTTAAGACAAAAATCTCACTATAAAGACCAAACTGGCCTCAAATTCCGGGATCTGCTTGCCTCTGCCTCGTGAATGTTGAGTGTTAGGATTGATTAAAGGTGTGTACCAGCACACCCAATGTAAAGAACCCTTTTTTAAAGTTAAGATTTACTTTTACTTTATTTATATGAGTCGTTTTGCCTACATGACTGTATACCATGTGTGTGCCTGGTACCTGCAGAGGCCAGAGAGGACCTGAGATCTCCTAGAACTGGAGCTCAGGTGGAGTTCTGAGCTGTCATGTGAATCCTCTGCAAGAGCAACCAACTGTTGAATCATCTCTCCAGTCAGCAAAGAGCACTTTTAACATGTGCCCTGCCTGTGCTGGGCCCTGCTGGGAAGTCTTAACATCTCCCCGTGTTCCCCATGGTTAAGGCCATGAGGGTGAACAACCAGAAACAGAGAGGCCACTTACCTGATGCTGAGACGTGGGTTTCACCATGCAGAGCTAAGGATCTCTAAGCCTGCGAGCTAGGCCCTTCCCCGTGTTGTGTGGCCACAAACCACAGAGCCTCCATATCTCTGAGTGACTCTGGGGTGGGCTGTTGGTGACTGTCAGTGAGCTCCTCAGCAGAGCCCACATTACTCCTGAACCTGCCCTGCCAGGACTGCCAAGGCAAAAGGGGTTCTGGGAGGAGAGAAACAGGGCTCTCAGTTGCTGGTCTCTGTAATTCCTTTGCCTCAAAGCATATCCAGCCACTGTGATGGCTGCAACAGGCACCATAGCCTTGCCTTGGCCTGGTCAATGGCAGCTGTTTCTGAAAGCAGCTTCACACATGTGTAGATTAGTCTCTGACCAGAGAGATCAGCTTGCTCTGGCAAACATGGCAAGGCTCACCCAGAGAAAAGACCAGTAGCGCTGACTTGACGTTACAGCCCCCATGCTGCCTCTGAGGTGAAAGGTGGCCTCCCAATGTCTCCAACTCAATATGGAAGTGGCCTTCCTTCTGCGAAGCCTACCAGCCTCTTCTAACTAATGGCGTTGCACTGTTGTCTTGCAGGCTTTGCTGTGGCCCAGTGCATAAACCAGCATAGCTCCCCATCCCTGTCGTCACCATCGCCACCGTTTGCCAGTGGGAGCCCCGGCGGCAGTGGGAGCACCAGTCACTGCGACTCAGGAGGCTCTTCCTCTGCACCCTCAGCAACCCAGAGCCCAGCAGGTATTGGCTGTGAGACATGAGGGACTTTGGGAACCTGTGACCCCTTGCCTCGGCCATGACCTCCTACCCACAGCTCCTCCTCATGGTGTCTGGAAGATACGGCCACGGCCACGGCCACTCGGTGGTGCTCTTGATGGTTGAGAAAGATGGCATTGTCCACCAGCTGCATAACGCTTATGTTGGCTGGTCTGCTCTGTTCTGCTGTGACCACAGTGCTCTAGGGAATGGCACCAGCCAAGCCAAGCCTAAGTGACATGTCATCACTCCTGTGCGTGTCACCTGGAGGGGTCTCTCAGAGATGATTGTATAAAGCCAAGGAAGATTCATCCCTCCTAATTGGGCTCCAGCATGCAAATTTCCACTTCCAGTGTTTGATACTGTCTAGATGTCCCCAGAAACATGCCTACCACTCTAAGGGAGCTAATCAGGACAGAGCAAGGTCACCTCTTGCTGTCCCTTAACATACACCAGTTCAAAGGCCATAAAAAGAGTCCATTAAGAGGAGTAAGACTGTAATGCCTCAGCCCACCTCCGCCTGCCTTGCCCTGAGCTCTCCTGAGCAGCTTGCACACATGCTTTGTCTGTTCTGCGTCAAGTCCCAGGAACTGGCATCAGTCTTGGTTCCTGATTAGCATGACCCCAATTGCAGCCCAAAGGGCAGGGCTAAAATGGGGGTAAGCCCAGTGTCCCCAGGCAGTACAAGGCTTCACATCCACCAGCACTGCCCCACGATCTGTAGGGTACCTATGTCTCTAGCCTGTACCCTCTCTGTGCCCTTATCTGTGCCCCACCCAGTATATTTCACTGGGCACCTATCCATGAAGAATCATGGGGAGAGAAACGCCAGGCAAAGGCCATGGTGCTGTACCCACCCCAGGGACCAGTGTCTTCCTAGATATTGTACTTCCTTCCCTCGTGCTTTCATGTTCATCCTCCTTTCCTTCCCATGCCTCTGACTTAGGAGATGCTAGCCCACCTGTGCTACCCCACAAGGGACTTGTTCCCATCCCCTGTTGATGTCCCCCTCCGGCCCACCTCACTGGAACTTCTCCCAGTCCCCTGTCGGATCCTCTCCCTGCCCCCAGGCCAGCAGGGGGTAGTTGAAGGTGAGCTGCAGATTGAGGAGATGCAGAAGGAGCATGCTTCAAAGCCACGCTCGGCCCCAGGGGCCCTGCTCTTGGTCTGACCTTGCTCTGGGACAGGAGTGCAGGGTTCTGTTATGTGCTGTGCTCATGCTCTTGCTGCCATGCACATTTCTGTATCTCCATGTGAGCCGAGCACTCCTGTTTGCGAGCACTCACAGGACAGAAGGTCTTCTCTACATAGTATAGACACCTCTCTTCCATTTTTAGCGAGGCAGAGCCAACATCTAAGTGAGCAGGTAGCCACATACTTCTCTGCCTAAAACTAAAACCAAGAAAAGCCTTATATAGGTTGTCCAGATCAACCCTATATAACGTGTGCTCATTATTTCTGCCTTGGCCTCTCCCAGCCCCCAATCCCTACCATTCCCTGCCCAGTGCCAACAACATGTCTTTGAATCTCACAAATCCAGGGGCCATTAGCCTAGCTGTCAGATGGCCAGGCAGTTCCAGTGAATAAGTGATACTCAGAATCTCTGGGGTGTCTGCTCCCTCTTACTGCATCCCGGCAGGCACACCAGCCCCATTTTTTATGTGACATGACACTAAAAGCCTGAGCCTGGCTACTCATCCACCCCTGTCCACTCCACAATAGCTCACCTCTTTTAGAGAAGCTGACCTGGCCAAGAGCTATGCTTCATTCTCAGGGAGGGAATCAGATGTTCCAAGACACAGCTATTGGTCCTGAGAAGAGACTCCTGGAACCCATGAGCATCTCCACCTCAGTGCTCCACTGTAGGTTACACCTTTGATCCAGAACCAAGTGCATGCTTTGTTCCTGAAGGTCTGGCCTAGCCAGACTATTCCTCCAACACCTATTCCCTATTGGGCTGTGCTAATGGACCACCAAAGATTCGGTGGGGGTGGGGGGACCCTCCACCACGTGTCAGAGTTTGACACTAGCTCTAAATGGTAGCCCAGTATTTAGGAATCAGAGAATAGCCTACTAGCCAGTTTCTATACCTACCAAGGGCTGCCACCATCAACTAGAGGTGCTATCCTCAGATAGCCAGCTGGTAGTTGGATGAGCCTGAGGAGCCAGTACCCACATCATCCACTGTATCTGCCTGCTGCTCAGCCTGAATAGCATGGCCTTGCCAAGAGTCCATTTGTCTTTACAGTAGTTTTGAGGACATGGTACTAACTGAGAGTATTGCTGACCTTATGTTTACTAAACCTCCCAGAGGCCAGGGAGCTACTTGGTTCAGAGAGCAATTGCCAGGCTCCTGGGAGCCAGGAAAGCATACTCCAGAGACTCAGAGACACCAGTACCCATTGCAAGGTCAAGTGTCTGTTCAGGAAAGTGATGACTGGTGCCAACAAGAGGCCAGTTTCCCACGTCTGCTCCAAGTCATACTCAAAATCATACTCAAATGTATACAAGGGGCACATCACAAAAAACAGCTCTAGTCGTTTGATAAGGCAGCTCTGGGTCCCAATACCTGTCCATCAATTTCAAAACAGCCAGAATAGCAGATTGGAATATTCCTAAAAACAAAGAAACACTGGATGTCTGAAGTGATGACCATATAAATAGAATACCAAACCCCACAAGTAACAGACACACCATACACCAGTCTAAAAGGTTTAAAGAGCTAGTGAAGACTCTCACACTTTTCTGGCATTTCTTATGGCCTAGACACCCATGGTCAGTGTGGGTTCCTCCCTAGCCCACACATGGTCAACCCTGTGTATACCCTGCATGACATCCCAGTAGACAGCCTCCTAGGGCTGGACATCTTGCCTGGGTGCATTACATAGACACCTCCTCCCTGAGGCCTTCCTTGCTCTCCTACATTGGAAAACATAACAGTTCTGACAGATCATGTGACTTATCTACCATGCTGCCATTAGCAGGTGGGAGAATCCAAATGTGAATTGTATCCTTGGTAACTCCACAGCCATGTTCTGCCTTCTAAAACAACCCAGAAGAATATGGGACATGGTCCCTGAGTCTTTCTGGGTACTCCAGGGGTGTACCATGGACCCAGGTCAGAGTTTGAATCCTGACTGTGACAATTGTCTTACAGTAGTCCTTTATTGTACACAGTTGCCTGTAGACTCAGCTCCAAAGCCATGGTCCCACTCACCAAGCCTGGGACTCACTTAGTCCAGGTAGCAGATGACTAGGCCTACGGGTCCCAACCAGAGGAACCCAAGACAGCCAGATTCTCTTCTACTGCAGGGTTATCCCCAAACTAAGCATGAACCAGGCTGAGGTCGGGAGGATTACTTGTGCATCTGCTTGGCTGCTAATTGACCTTATACTTCCTGTCTGGGTCTGAAAGAGACCTGCATGTATCCCCAGGATGGGCATTCTCAGTTTCTTGTGGGGGAGCTTCAGCCTGTTCTCCCAGGCATCAGTGGTGCAGGTTGCCCATCTTGGTTAGGTAGCCTTGAGACCTGACCCAAGACGTTTCTCTGCTAGATGGGCCCTTCACTGGCTTCTTTCAGGATTCTCCCTGGATCTTCCTCACTGTACTGTCTTTTTCTAGGCAAATGGGTTTATGCTGAGTTCCTAGTGTGCACAGACATTAGGGGCAGACACTGAGTGGCAGAACAGGTTCTCACAGATGAACAGGGGCAGACCAGGACCATCAGATGACCACAGAGGCATGTGTGCAGTTGGAACCCATAATGAGAGATGAAGCAGAGGCTCCACCAGCTGGCACAGACCAGCTGCAGAAAGCCCTTGTATTCCTAGAGACAAACCCAAGGAGTAAGTGCTACAAGCCAGGAGCCCCTATGGAACAGGCGTCTGAGGCTCACAGAGGTCCGCCTGCGTCCACACCCATCTTGTTGGAAACAAGTAGAATCCTTTTCCCCATCTCCGTAAAGCTTCCCTGCAAACCCCGCCCCTCGGAGTACAGAAGGGAGGCAGTCTGTCTTTGAGAAACAGCTCCTATGCCTCATGGCCAAGACCTCTGACCAGAAGTGCTTTTAGAGCCTGTAGGCCCAGCACAGATTGGGACCACAGCCAAGAGGAAGGGTGCCCTTAATAGTCAACTAGTGTGCTATACCAACAGTGGGTGCTATATCCACCTTCTGCCGTACAAAACTATGCATATTCCAAGTGGCTTTTTAACAAGGGCTCAAGTGGGAGCCCACAGGCACCCCAAACTAAGAGAGAGCCCGTACTGAATCCCAAGACTGCCTCAGGAACCAGATAGTTTTGTGTTCCTGGACAGCCTTGGCCTATCAGAGCTATACTAAAGGGACTTGCGGGGACTTGAGTGGCCTGCTCCAGCACCCAGTCACACTCAGTCTGTTTGCCCATTGCTCCTTATTGTGTCTTACTTATTTTTTGCGATTAGTCTCACTGTGTTTCTCAGACTGGCCCAAGTGATCCTCTTGCCTCCACCTCCAAGTTCTGAGACTGCAGCCTCTGCCATGACACCCGGCTCCACTGCACTTCAACAAAAGTGCTTTTGGGTGGCCAGCCCCTCAGCGGAGAGCTGAACCCCATGGGTTTCTTTATCTGTATTAGGAACCAAGTGACTCACATGTCTAGCTCAGCTAGACGGCACGCCTCAGCTGACCCCTGGTGAGAAAAGGCAGCAGGCTGGGTCAGCATTTACTCTACTTTTCAGAAGTTGAAATCAAAAGCAGCAGCATGGTAAGGAGCCAGTGAGTTACTTGTCAGAACAAAGTGTGGGCCCAGTGCCCTGTGTACGCTCACGGTGCTGCATGCACACATATGAGCGTGCAAAGATGGCCACTCAGTGTCATACCCACTTGTATACACCTACACTGGGTGGAGTTCTGTTTCTGAGACAGGTCTTACCATGTAAATCCGACTAGCCTGGACTGATGCTCCTGCCTCAGCCATCAGAGCACTAAGATGACACTGGCCAGAATGCCCGTCTTTATGGAGTCCTGATGAGGAATTGTCCCTCAAATACTGATCCCATGACATACCTTAGTTCCTTGCATTTCTGGCATCCACATGTACCAGAGTTTTAGAGTTTCTTTATGAACCTCTTGGAGGCAGAAAACAGAAAGTGTTTATTGGAAATGATGCCAGAGAGAAGGTCAGGCTGCCCTTGCAAGTATAAATGTCACCCTGTGCACTGCAGCCGCCATCCCAAGGGCTAACAGGAAAAAGACAGGGCTGGCTTCTGGGGCCCAGGGTTGAGAGCCTTCCTGACCTCCCTCCCCAGGCTCCCTTCCTCCCTTCAGCCTCTCTAAGCTTCCAGCCTTTTTACACTTGGGTTTTTGATCACCTAGTCCGTAGACCTTTAAGGGCAGACACTTCAAGGATGCAGTATTGTCTTTTCTCTGATGTTCTCTCTGTGAGTGTGTGTGTGTGTCTGTGTGTGTCTGTGTGTGTGTGTCCGTGTGTGTCTGTGTGTGTGTGTCTGTGTGTGTGTGTGTTGAGGTGGTAAAATGCAGCTGACATAAAATGGACCAGTGTACCATCCTCAGCATGGTGTTTCCTCATGCTCCCGCTGTGCTCACTCTGTGGCATTACTCTTAGCTCTCCTCTTATAGTTTGTTTGTGAGACTACGACCTCAAGAACACCATAAGTCCTTCCTCTTGTTCCTGTTCCAGCTTGTGCATTCCCACTTAGCTACTGAGTGCCTAGTCTCCCCATTTCCTGCTCTGTGCCCTGGTCCTGCTTCCCCAAGTGGGACTTTGTAAGTCATCCCTCTCCCCCAGATACCACTGTGAGTCTAAGGCAGGTGTCATGCCCAGCATCCAGGGTTTACTCAAAACTTGAAGCACATCCCTCCATGTCCCCCTCTCCAAGGTCAGAAATGCTTAGTTCACTCTGGCCTGGCTCTGACCCTCTGACCACGCCCCTCCTTCCTGCAGGCATTTCCTCTGAGTTTCCCATCTTTCTGTGGGTCCCAGATAAAACTGAGAAGCAGTTTTGTTCTTTTGTCCCCTGGTTTTTCTGACAGACCAGAAGTTATCAGTGACCCAAATCTTTGCAACAGGATTGCACCTTCTCTGTCTCTAACCGTATTAAGTTGCAAGAGTGAAGGGTTAGAGCCATGTGCTTGCCTGGTATGCACACGGTCTGAGTTCCACCCCAGTACCACGTAGACCCAGCCTCGTGGTGCGTGCCTGTAATCCCGATGCTCAGGAGTTAGAGGTAGGAGGATCAGAAGTTCAAGACTCTCCTTGGCTACATAACAGAATTTGAGGCCGGCCCTGACTGTGAGACCCGGTCTAAAGAAGACAGAAAGAAAGGTTGCAGAAATGAGCAATTTTTTTCTTAGATCTCCTGACCTTGGCTCGTCTTGGGGGCAGCATGGACGTGTCCTGTCACCATGATGGGCTGGCAGTCTGGGTGCCCACTGCAGCCACGTCTTCCTTTGTTCTGCTGATACTGTGTCCGTCTCTGCTGTGTCCTTTTCTTTTCCACCTCACCTTCGCCGTTCCATTGTTACAGGCTTCCTATGATCTGTCGCTGTGTTTTCCCTCTAGTCAGGAGTGGCAGGAAAGGACGCCGGCGTGTGTTCAGCCTGTCGGAGGCCGACAGTCACGGCGGCCACTGGGTTTAGTGCTTCGACCAACAGCTGCCACGGCAACTCACGCACAATCAAATCAGGCAGGTCTCCTTCAGGAGCCCCCATGGGCCCACGACATTCCTGCCACATGTAACAGGGTTGGCATGCGCAGGGCGGGCAAGCTGGGCCTAGAGAGCACGCCATCCCGATCTCAGCTTCCTTTCCCTTCGTGTCCTCTGCCCCAGCCAGTCCTCCTTGGCTTGTACAAGAGCATTGCCTTTGTCCAGCAGTCAGCCTCAGGGTAGCCCCCCAGGGTCAGCCCTGAACTGGAGGCCATGTCCTGTGTGTCCACACAAATCAGTTCCATGCAGTTCCCTGCAGTTCCACTCACTATTGACTAGGGAGTTGAAAGCTTGTAAGAGGTGGCCTAGGATGTTCTTTCCCAGGCCTGGGCCAAAGCTAAGCAGCAAATGCAGCTAGCACCCAGGTCCAATGTTTCTTTCTTGGTAGACGCCATCTTTCCAGTGCCCCTATCACTGTGAGCATCAGGAGAAGAGGTGAACCAGCTCTCCCTGTCAGGGCCACTGCTGCTACCATCCTGGGACATTCCCTCATGCTTGCTGACATGTCCGTGTGCTGACATGTGTGTTAGCAACAGCCCATCCCTTGGCTTCCTGTTTGCCAGCTGACCTTCGGAGCTTTGCATCAGCTAGCTGCGTGGAGCCCTTTCTTTTTTCCCACAGCACTCACCTGCCATTCCAGCCTAGATCCCACCAGTTCACATCATTTCTGGAAGCCATCACTTACTTTACAAAGACCAGTGAGGCCCTGCCCTAAAGCTGCAGATCACGTCTGAGGGGCTCAGCTTCCTTGTGCACTCACGGGCAGAGGCTGGAGGCTTTGTAACCCTCCTGGGAACACAAGCTGGCTGTGGCTCTCTCTCCTCCCCAGCTCATGCCCAAACCCCTCCTCTCCACGTATGTAGCCTTTAGGTGCCAAAGGTCCAGCAAGTCACCTTGGTGCTCAAGCTTTAAGGCCTTTCTGTGCCTTCACTGGGAAAGCTGCCCCACTCCCTGCCCCGCTTTGTTAGATAAATTTGCTGCCCATTTTCAGGAAGTAATTTTTAGTATAAACAGCAGTGGAAGGTGGGAGCAAGAGGGCATTCCTTTTTTCTATTAAAATAAGCAGGAGTATTTTTTAAAGTGGAAAAAAAACAGCTCTTTTAACAAAAAGTTGCTACTTTTCTAAAAGCAACCATTTGTGTGTGTGGCATTGTTGACTGTTTTGATTTCTTGTTGGATTTGATGGTGGGTTTGACCATGGTCTTCCTGCCTTCATGATTATTCTCATCTGCAAAAGCCCTACTAGAGAACCAGGAAAGAGGTAAGAACCCAGGAAGGCAGTGTTTCTGCTCCTCATCACCCATGACAGAACAATTCCATTTGCAGTGAGTCATTTCCAAACTGCCTAGCCATAACACCTCGTGGAGACGTTCTCAGGTAGGCTCAGACCTGTTCCAAAACTTCCATAGAGGTCACTGAGCTGCTGAGTGCCACTTGGACATGGAGGGTTCACACAAGGTCACGAGCATCACTTGTACACTAGGACAAGTCAGTAGGAAGCAGAGAAAGCAGCAGTGGTGGCGGTATGAGCACAGCAGTCCAGCTCAGCTCACACCTGTGTGTCTTTTTGCACCAGTTCTCACTGACACCCACAGCCCCTGAGCAAGGACAGGCCCAGAGCCACAGGGAGTGGCTTTCTCTAGACTGCTTGCTCTGCTGGGGAAAGGAGCTCTGTGGTAGATATTTGGCTAGCATTATGCCTGCAGCCCTGGGTTCCGTCCCCAGCAGTGCAAAAAACAAAAATAAAGCTCTGAGAAGAAAGGAAGGCAGCGAGTGTGTGCTGGGCGAGTGACATGCGCGTGCGTGTGCGCGTGCACTTTCCTCCCCTGCGGTTCCTCTGCTCCACCCCATTCCTCATGTTGCCTGCTTTTATTCTGTTCTTCCTTCTTCCATCTTTTGGCTCTATGTTTGGTTTGCTTTTTTATTTTATTTTGGCTTAAATGAGAAAACACAATGAAGTCAACCAGAATAACATTGAACTAACTACATTCCCTCTGTCCTGAGTCCCCCCACACAGCTCTAGGGCTGAACAGTTGCCATCTTCTGCTGAGGCCTGTTAACCCTAGAATCCATACAGATAAGAACAGGCAGCCAAGCCACATTCGAAGCACCTCCTTTCAGGGCCCTAAAGTGCCCAGCCTCGGGAGTGCTGGATGGCCTTTCCCTTGAGTACCACACCTTCCTGGCTGACATCATTGAAAAGCAAGTGGCCTGCGTCTATCCACAGTCCCCAAGGGTTTAATAAAGTACCAAACAAACAAGCAACAACAACAAAAAAAAATCTATATCTGGTGGAGGCAAGCTCAGTAGTAGCCCTGGGAGAACCCATCTGCTTTGTGGGTGCTAGCTTAGTGCTTACAGAAGGCAGAGGCTTGCAACAGTACACGATTTTAGAAACTAGAAAGTCCTACCTTTTTTTTTTTTTAACTGTTTCGCTGGATTCCTTGGCAAGTGTCTCCAAATGTAGCCTCTGGAAGTAGCCTGGAATTGTAGGTATACACAATCTGTTTGCTTTCCGTTTCCATATTTACCATTAGACCATTGGACCAGACTCTGTCCCTGCACACAAAGCCCGCCCAGGCCAGGTTTCACTTTCAGTAGTCAGGTGTTGATTTCAGACGAGGCCTGAGTTTTCTCCTGTTGTCAAGAGTCAAGCACCCAAGGTCCTGACACATTACCCCGAGGCCTAAGTTAGATGAGGTTAGCAGCTTCTGGGTCCCAATAAGGAGTAGGTAGAACAGGCATGCCCCTAATACAAGCAGTCTCCCCACAGGGCTTTCCACCTTGGTGCAGTGCAGGAGTGGCAGGTGACAGCTGAGTACAGTGTCACTGGAGCTGAGAGTATCTCTGCTTTCCTTTCCACCTAGATGCCCCCACAACTCCAGAGCAGCCTCAGCCTCACCTAGACCAGTCAGCGATTGGGAATGAAATGGATGTCAACTCCAAGCCCAGCAAGAACTCTTTGGCCAGGAGCTCTGAGGGGGAGGCCATGCACTTGTCCCCTAGCCTCCTCCCCGCCCAGCAGCCCACCATCTCCTTACTCTACGAGGACACTGCTGATACACTGAGCGTCGAGTCGCTGACCCTTGTCCCCCCAGTTGATCCCCACAGCCTCCGAGCCCTCTCTGGCATCTCCCAGCTCCCCACGTTGGCTGCAGCAGACACAGAGACCCCAGCTGAGGGTGCTGTAAACCCAGAGCTTGCGGGCCCCACAGAGCACTGAGTGGGCACCAGAGATCTCCCTTTGTGTGTGCGGCCCGCTGGTAGGGACCCCCATGCAGTTTGTGACAACAAGGCACATGGAAGGCACCCACAATTCTCTGTGGCCCTCCTCATACCTCTCCCTACAAGACAGCAACCAAGCGCTCATTTGCTCTGCCCTGTCACTGAGCAGGCTGGGATCCTGGAGACAGCCTCCTGTGTAGAGACAACGCATTGGCCACCTCAGAGGGGTCTGGAGCCCTGTCCCTCATCCTGACAGCTGCAGGAGACAAGACACACTGGCACCCTCCTTCAGGCAGCTCCTTTATCTTCTCTCCCAGTCTGCACAGAGGTGGACAAGGTTACTTTGGGTAGAAATCTGTGGAGAAGCAAACCTAGATAAACATCTCTTTGGGCTATTTATTTCTGTTTTTGGCAACAGATGAAGAAATTTATTTTAAAAGAATCTATTTTGGGGGAGGGGCAGAAAGAAAAAGTCCTCAACCATAAGGCTCAGAGTCACATTAGAAACGTCAGCTGTTAAGACTCCCCATCCTTATAACTTTTCCATGTTTTTATTCTTAAGTTGTGGGTGTTACTTCCTCTGTTTGCTCTGTCCCCAAGTCTACAAGCCTATGGGATGATGAAGTCTCTCCTTGAAACACTGAGGTACTTCCGAACAAAGTGAGAGAGACCTGAGTGCGCTCAGGTCACATGGGGTGAGAAGGCCAGAAGTTTCTGCTCTCATGTGACCCGGATGGCGTCTGCTCCCTGCTCAGGACACCACACAGACACAGCTTCCGCAGGCTTGCTTCCTTCTCTCTTCCTCCAAGAAAGATCCATTAGTCCCAGTGTCCATGACAGGAATCAAAGGATTTAAGGCACAGAAAGTCATCCTCAGATGTAATCAGCTTCCCAAGATGCAAGTGGATGCCCAGCTAGGGGCCCAGCTGCAAAACAGGTGACCAAAAGCAGAATCCCACCCTTCCCTCCCACCCCACCCTGCCCTTTGTTGCCACCACACAGCTTGTTTGGGTGTGAAAACCCCATACTTCTAGGTATGTGCCATCAAGGACCAAATCTGTCCCATCAGGCCCCAGCCTTCCTCTGCACTCAACAGCCAGGTCACCGCTCCAGGCTCCATGGCAAGGCTCTCTATGGCTTTCCTGCAGATTTGGCCTCACACAGTTTCAGTATCCACCAAAGGGGAGCCACAAGGGTACCCCTGGGACACGTGTCACCATCTGTTCATCATTAGACCTTGACACTCTGTTAAGCTGACTTCCCTGCAGGCCCCAGTGCTCGGTTTTCCAAGGGAAAGCAGTGCTCCCTGGGAAAGCAGTGTTACCCATGTGGACTGGCTTCTCTGGTCTTTAGAAGCACTCCAGAGCATATACTGTCTAAGACACAAGATGGTTTCAAAGAGAAGGCTGGATCAGGAGGTGAACCAACCTTGCCTAGAGGCAGCCATCCCAAAAGCCCTGGTAAAGAAGGGTGTTCCAGGATATTTAGCCCCTGGGAAGACAAGAGAATGATGGCACTGGGAACTAGAGCTTTCTGGACCCCACAGCCAACCTTGATTATTTGAAGGGAGAGGCAGACAAAGGAGCAGGTTAGCCCTGTCTTCAGCACAACTGTACACTACAGGTTTTGAAATGACAGTTGCTAGGGCAGCATAAATGTTATACAATTCAAGTGACTCTCCACCCTGCAGTGTGGTCTTCAAAGAAAAGCCTACAGCCACCCTAACCCACATATACAGGTAGGCCCATCCTTCTGTGATGAGCCTCTTTGCAATCCAGAGGTTTCAAGGAAGGGAAAAGATTGTGCCCAAGGTGGTCAGCAAACAAAGGGTAGCTGCTATGTAAAATTCACCAAGAACAAGCCTGTCCACACAGCTGGCTTGTAAGGTTGCTCCCAGGGGGTTCCTGCAGCCAGCAGCCTAAGGGTGAGCAAATGTGGACTTCCTATGTGCAGAACTATGGCTCATTGCTGATGAGGGATGGGGTCCTGGAGGAAGCAATAGGACCTCAGGACTCTGAAGAAGTACGCTCACCTAGGTCTTGGTGGCATTGGGTACCATCCAGTCTTCAGGACCACTCTGCTAACTTGGCAACTGTGCTCTCCAGACAGACCTAGCCAATGAGAACCTGCTGGGTCTCGGTAGGATTGAGGGATACCAGGTCCAGTAGGATCCCACAGCTCCTAACCTGGGGGTCCCAGAATCAGTCTCCAAAATCACTGGTCCCATCTCTTAGGCAATGCCTGCCATGTCTGCCCTTCTGCAGCTGCCCCAGGGCAGACTAGCAGAGCTGGCTTCTAACCCCTCTTCTCAGCTTTGACTGTCACCATGGTGACATGCAGTGCTGCCTCCTCCCATTTGTAGTCTTAGGCAGGTGGAACACTTCCCACAAGTCAGACTCAGTGTGGTGGTGAGCACCCTATACAGTGGAAGTGGTGGAGAGGCTTCTAGAGCAGACCGCTCTGCTCCTCTATCCACCAGACACTTGCATTGCCAGGAGTTGGCTGACTCCATCCTAAGGATGGCACTGGCTTTCTCTGTGCTCTCTGACATGCAGTTGTAAATAAGGCATGGGTAAACCAAGTCTGATCTTTTGTAGATGCAATAAATATATTTCACACAGTCACAAGGGGCATAAGGTTAAATGCTTCTTCCCTCCCTCAGAGCTGAAGCTGTGAGGAGAGAAGTGGGGCGGGGCAGAGCTGGGAAGGTCTACCCAGGGAAGCACCTGCTTCTGCTGGCAGGACTCATACTTTGTGGGGACTGAACCTGGGGGGAGGAATGAAAGCTAGAACTTTCTTGTAATTTGAAACTTGGCAATAAAAGGCAAAACCAATGGCCCAGGAGTGTGGTCTGCTCTTCCTTGGCACCATGGTGGATGCTATGCTCCAGGGCGGGTCATCAAATGCCTTGACCTATCAACACTGCTCAGGTGGAACATAAGGACTAGAGAGCCCACTGACATCCTCAGCTCTGCTGTGGCAGTTCCAGGAACAGCCCTATTTGAGAAGGCCTACTCATAAAGGGGACAGGATCTTGGGCTTACTCTGCCTCAACTCCTTCAAGCCTGATGCTCTACACAGATGATATGGGCTGGTGTGGCCCTGCCTGTCGGGACAGGGGCAAGAAGCCACTGTATTGTGGCTTTAGAGACCCAGAGACCAGGAAGGGCTCCCCACCTGGGACAGTCAGGTAACACTGGTGATCACAGTTCCTACACACACTAACATGGAAATCCCTGGGCCTAGAATCATAGGATTCTTCAGAGCTTCTGCTCCGGCTTGAACCTATCCTAGAAATCCCCAGGGTCTTAAGAGTCTTGAGAGCAAACCCAGAAGAAGCTGGACACTCTTAACCTCAACCTGAGTCTTTGCAGGAGAAATGAAGCCCAACCCTGTACTGGCAGCCAGCAGAGCCTACTTCTTCTTCTGGACTGTGGTTGTCTTAATTCCTTGGAAGTCCAGCCATTATGTCTGGGCCTGAGAAGGCTCTGAGGTTGTTTGAGTAGGGTTGGAGTCTGCTAACCACTGGGTATCAGCCAAGGCCCACCTGCTCCCTCTTGTACTCCACAGCAGCCCTGCTTGGTTCTGTGGGCATTCACGGTTCAGTGGCCTCCATCTGTAGGAGGAGCTTGCTGGAAGGATGTACAGGGAGTGGGGGATGGCCTCAGGGCAGATAAAGGCCAGGAACAATAGTTGCAGGGCCTCGGCTATCTCCCTGCCTATTCTGGAACTCCAGGTCAAGAACTAGGCCCTCAGGGGTGTACAGACCCCAGTGAGGGTGGGAGAGCCCTGCCTCATGGCATCCCTATTACGGATGAGGACAGAGGGGAATCTGAAATCTGCACAGCAGAGGAGCAGGTCTCCAGGCTGGGACAGGAAGGAAGGGGTGAAGCAGCACTTCACAGACTTGGATACATGTTAGAATCATCTGGAACTCAAGCCCCAAACTAGAAGCACATACCCCAGTCCTAGTCATCAGTATGCAGTACACACACTAAGAGCTCTTAGCACTGTCTGGGCCCAGAGGTGGCCTAGAGCCTACCTTACATGGGAGATGTGGCTGGCACTGGCTGTTTGCTGCTACCAGAACCCACCACCCTCACAGCCTCCCCCAGCCCCACAGCCGCACTGCGTGTGGACACTTGCATGTCTTGGTAGCTTCAGTCTAGAGAGGGAACTTACTGTAAGTAAACTCAGGAAGGTAGCCTCAAAGTTGGGGGAGTTAGGTGACCCCTAGTCAGTCATGGCTCTGTGTGTGTGTGTGTGTGTATGTGTGTGTGTGTGTGTGTGTGTGTGTGAGAGAGAGAGAGAGAGAGAGAGAGAGAGAGAGAGAGAGAACGAGAACATATATGCATTTATGTGAAAGGTGGAAACCAGACGTCAACCCTGGTTGTTATTCCTCAGGTCATTCTCCAATTGTTTTTTGCTGTTTTGTTTTGAGACAGAATTCTCCTCTTGGCCTAGAGTTCACTTGGTTGGCTAGGTTGGGTGGCTAGCAGCAAACCCCAAGAATCCTCTCTCCACCGCTCCAGTGTCACCTCACCCTAATTACTTTTTTTTTAATATAAAAATGTGGGTTCTGGCTGTTGAACCCAGGTCCTCATGTTTGCAAACCAAACACTTATTCCATTACTCTTTATGAATTGATCCTCTCTGAAATCTCTTACCATAGAAAATTGACTTATCTCAACCAGCACTTCCCTGTGGCTGGTGTAGTGAGGTGGGGGGACACTTTCCATTCTCCCGTTGTGTCCTCACGATGTGACAGACCTGCCCACTGCAGGCAGGAGGGACAGGTAAGGCCAGGTAACAGCATCCTGCCTGCCCAAAATCTGAGTCCTTCACTGGAGGGGAAGACTGAGTCCCAAGCAACTATATAAGGGAAGCCCCTTCTACTTCCTTGTGCTTCTTCATAGCTCTTCAGAACACTAGGAAAAACCCTCTGGGCCTAATGTGATTTTCTCCAGAGGCAGATGAGTTTGGCATCATTTCACACTTGGAGTTTCCCAGGAAATCATTCAGGGGTACATGATGCCCAGTGGGAAGCTTGCATGCCTGCTCTTTCCCAGGCAGGCCATCATGTCCCAGCCTTGCCTTGTTCATGTCTGTCACTCAGACTACCACTGCCTTACCCACGGCTAGAACCCACAACCATTAAGACCCTAGGTTGCCAGGTTCTGCCCTCGTCCTGGCACCTGGACCCTGTCCCTCCTCTCATTGTCCCACTCCTGTTCTCAGCCTCCCTTCCTGATAGCAGCTGCTCACACCCAGATACACACACCAGTGTGCTAGACTTGCCTTCTCAACCTACTATGTGGAAACTGGAGCTCAGACCTAGAGTGGAAGAGCCTGCCCTGCCTTGGTGCCAGGCTCTGCTAACATGCTCCCAGCAAGATGTAGGGCCCACAAGTACCAGTTCAGCTCAGCTGTCACCTTCTGGAAGTCCAGGAAGACCCTAGTCCATGCCTCTCTCCCAGATTCTCATGCTCTGCCAGCCTCTGTGTCCTGATGGCTGACTCGCTGGGCTCTAGCTCCATGGTCACATGGCCCTGGGTTCCCATGTCTCATCACTCTTCCTTTCCCTAAAGACATCAGTCATAGGACAAGGACCTAGCCTGATCCAGGATGACCTCACAAAATCCTCAGCCTGCTGACATCTGCAAAGACCGCAGGTGCCAGAGACTAGAGCACAGACATGCTTCCTCAGTCATGGGCAAGCATGCCAATGTGCGAGGAATGAACAACACCACACAAGCTCAAAGCAAGCCCAGAGAGCAAACCTTTGGAGTTCTGGTGGTAGTGTTTGGATTTTGATTTTATTGTTTTTTTACTGGTATTTGTATTTGTGTGTGTGTGTGTGTGTGTGTGTGTGTTCATGTGTTTTGGGGTATACTTGTATATGTGTATGCACATGTGTTTCTGCAAATGGAGACCAGCAGACGAACTTCAGGCATTGTTCCTCAGTTTAGTCAGGGTTACTATTGCTGTGATGAAACAACATGACCAAAGCAACTTGAAGAGGAAAGGGTTTATTCATCTTATGCTTCCACACCATAGTTCATCATCAAAGGAAGTCAGGAAAGAAACTCAAGTAGGGCAGGCACCTGGAGGTGGGAGCTGATGCAGAGGCCATGGAGGGGCGCTGCTTACTGGCTTGCTTATCATTGCTGGTTCAGCCTGCTTTCTATAGAACCCAAGATCACCAGCCAAAGGATGGATAGTACCACCCAAATAGGCTGGGCTGTGCCCTTCCCCTTCAATCACTAATTAAGGAAATGACTCTAGCTTGTGTCAAGTTGACATTAAACTAGCCAGCACACTCAGATACTGTTCACCTTAAGGGTTATTTGGTTGGTTGGTTGGTTTTTCAAGACAGAAATTCTCTGTGTACTCTTGACTAGTCTGGGAACTCACTCTGTAGACCAGGCTGGCCCTGAGAGACCCAACTGCCTTTGCCTACTGCATGCTTGGATTAAAGCATGCCCAGCCCACCTTGATTTTCTGAGATTGAGTCTCTCCCTGGCCTAAAGCTCACCAATTATACTAAGCTGGCTGGCCAGCAAGCATCAGGCCCTGGGAATCTTTGTTTCTCTGCCTCTCCAGGGCTGGGACTATAAGTGCACACTACCATGTCCACAACAACATGTGCAGTGTTTCTCTGTATAGCTCTGGCTATCCTGGAACTCAGAGATCTGCCTGCCACTTCCTCCCAAGTGCGGGGACTAAAGGTGTGTGCCACCAACACCCAGCTCCCAGATTTTTTCTTTTTACTATTTTTTACTTGTGTTCTTAGATAAACTCAGGTTTTCCTGTGTGTAGGACAAACACTTTACCAACTGACTCACCTCTGCCCCATATCTTTTTTTTTTACTTTACTTTTCTTTTTTTTTTAGAGGATCTCACTGTCTAGCCCAAGCTGGTCTTGTACTCTTGATTGCCTTTCCTGCTCGTCCCATGACAGGATCACAGCTGTGTACCCTCCTCCAAACCCCACCTATTTAATTCAGATTTAACCAAGTTCCATGGTTTGTCCTGTCTGTTAAAGGGACTCCATGTTGAGACGGCTTGTGAGCACCTCACCAAGACTTTTCTCTTGGATGGGATCAGCAGGGTGACAGAAGAAAAGAACCAGGTCACATGGGACTCTACTAGATCCCTGTTCTTGTGATCTAAGAAGTCGGCTCAGGGCTGCAGATACGTTGTACAAGGCACTGTGCTGACACACCATGCAGTTCCCAGTATGACATGAGTTATGGATTTCTCGTCAGCTCTCCTGCAACAGAGCCCCCCAATTCTGCATAGCTGTGGATTACCAGAGCGTACTATGTGGCACTCAGTACCTGGAAGATGAATGGGTAGGGCCATTCTTTGACTGGGTCCTAAGTTCCCAACCTGAGTTCTTATGTGTCTTAAAGCTCATGGCCTAGCTTTTGGCCTCACCCACTTAGATTAATAGTAGTATTTTCTAGGCCTTCCCCAGCCCAGCCAACAACTGCTAGAAGGATTTTCCAGAGTCCGTTTGCCAGGGAGGGCGCACTAGAAAGCTGTATCCTTTATCACTCTTAAAGATTCTTTGTTCCCCAACCATACTGATAAGGTAGTAGTACTAGCTCCAGACAACCAGTGCGGCCCTGTTCCACACACAAGTCTCTGTGGCCCTAAGTAAGTGGCTAAGTCTTAAAGAGTGGCTTCCTCAGCAGAAGGCAGGACCCTCCCTGGCATGTCCTTTTGTGAAGTGGGGGCAGGTCAGTTCCCAGGCTAGCTAGCACCTTAACCTAGAACCAGCTAGACTCACATAGGGTTTGAAGGATTCCTGCTGCCACCCAGGCCTGTGATCCT